ACTAGATGGCGGTGCAGTCCTGCTGATAGGTATCAGTGATCAGTAATCAATGTAGAGTCTATAAAGGGCTCATTGGTTCCACTTTTCTGGAGCCAGGGACCCCGTCCATCCTCTGTGTGTGTGTGTACGAACCCCGACAATGAACCTCTATTGTTTCCTCCCTCTGTCTGATATATATTCACCACTGAAAGAGTATTCTTATATGTTCAATAAAGTAGGCAAATACCATCTGATCCTGCCAGAAATCAGAATCCACTACTTCCTTTGCTGTATTCTTATCAGTTACATTCTTCCCAGCTCTCTAAGAAGACTACATAACACCTTCCCCCTATGTTACACAGATGAGGAGCGGGGGGGGGGGTCTTCTGCAGTCCTGTTGGTGGGTGGCAATACTCTCTATAATCTCTCCTCTATACAAGGTGCAGAATTTGCGGTGACACAGCCGCCAATGTCCATGTTTCCAGCACGTGCCGCTGTTCTGTATGTGTGTGATCGTCCCCAGCGGACTGTCACATACTGATGACACGTGTGTTCTCCACGCCGGTTCTGTATGCGTGTGATTGTCAGAGCGTTGTCACCCTGTAATATCTGTCCCCCTCCCTCAGTGGTGTCCTGTGCACTGTCCTGGTGATATCAGACATCGGGGACTCTCTATGTGACAGGGGTTTTCTTTAGTACAATGTATCTCTCATTTTCCTTTTGGTGAATGTTTCCTCTTTTATTTTTAGGCTTCATAATTCACACAGCTGGAAGCTCCGGATGCGTTCTCTCAGCCCCACACACCGGTCTCCGGAGGACCCCCTAAACACCCGACCCACGGTAAGAACCTCCCTGGGGTGACAACAATGCTGCACTGCCCCTAAATTCAGAGCAGAGTTGTCACCCTCATGTGGTGGGTGTCTGCTAGCAGTACAGTGGGAGGGGAAGATGTAGCAGGGGGCGTGGCTATCTGCATTGTTCCTGTTGATTGGCTGTAGCTTCTCACTCATCACCTTGGAGATCAGAGGACCTTCCCCCGGCACTGGGGTGACCGCACTGTATAGAAAACAATGGCTTGGCCCTGTCGGCCATTCTACATGTGCTGGAATAGGGAGCAGAACATGTGACGGGGCCCCCGGGGGATTGTTGGCAGTGTGAAGCACAGCGGCTGCAGAGTGACTCAGACATGAAAACAATACCTTCCGAGTCCAACATTCCCTCCGTGCCAGGAACTTCCCGGAACACACATGAAAGCCGCCTCCAGCTGAGGAGCGCTTCTCCTTTAAATAGATCAGACAAACTCACACCCTGACCTGACCTCTGACCTCCCTCTTATCACCCGCACCAACTGCGCCAGGAATGTCCGAGCACGCCGCCGTCCAATGAGGAGCCATTACACTACACACGGCTTTTATCTTCCCCAAATACCCGGGAAGAGCCACAGCCATTATCCCATCACAATTCATGATACATTCATATGTATGATGTCACTCCTGTGTGATATATCTTATATCTGGAGGGTGGTGATGTCACTGCTGTATAATATATCTTATATCTGGAGGGTGGTGATGTCACTGCTGTATAATATATCTTATATCTGGAGGGTGGTGATGTCACTCCTGTATAATACATCTTATATCTGGAGTGTGGTGATGTCACTCCTGTATGATATATATCTGGAGGGTGGTGATGTCACTGCTGTATAATATATATCTGGAGGGTGGTGATGTCACTGCTGTATAATATATCTTATGTCTGGAGGGTGGTGATGTCACTGCTGTATAATATATCTTATATCTGGAGGGTGGTGATGTCACTGCTGTGTGATATATCTTATATCTGGAGGGTGGTGATGTCACTCCTGTATAATACATCTTATATCTGGAGTGTGGTGATGTCACTCCTGTATGATATATATCTGGAGTGTGGTGATGTCACTCCTGTATGATATATATCTGGAGGGTGGTGATGTCACTGCTGTATAATATATCTTATGTCTGGAGGGTGGTGATGTCACTGCTGTATAATATATCTTATATCTGGAGGGTGGTGATGTCACTCCTGTATGATATCATGTGAATTATAATGGTCAGTCATGTCTTCTCATGTCTGTTTCTAGGTGGAGGTCACGGACAGACCCTCGGGGAGTCTTGATGACAGTGATGTGGAAGCTCGTATGAACAGTTGGAATCTCGGGGTAATACACTGACAGCAGAATATTGTTATTGATTGGCTGATATATTCCATCATGCCTTGCGGCAACCAATCGCATGTCAGGTCTGTGTGCTCTGGTCTGTGTGCTATGGTCTGCGTGTGCGCTGGTCTGTGTGCTCTGGTCTGTGTGTGCTCTGGTCTGTGTGTGCTCTGGTCTGTGTGTGCTCTGGTCTGTGTGTGCTCTGGCCTCTGTGTGCTCTGGCCTCTGTGTGCTCTGGTCTGTGTGTGCTCTGGCCTGTGTGTGCTCTGGTCTGTGTGTGCTCTGGTCTGTGTGTGCTCTGGTCTGTGTGTGCTCTGGTCTGTGTGTGCTCTGGTCTGTGTGTGCTCTGG